GGATTGTAAGTATTAGGTTAAAGTAGCATTAAATAACAATAACAACAACAACAGCAGCAGCAAAGCGACACAATACAGAGAGAGCCAAAGACGCAAGCCACAATGTGACTCCGGAATACTATACACACAACACACAGGTAGAGAAGAAGGTACACAAACCCATACATTGGCAATAGTGCATAGCAATCAAGTGAGCTATACAGAGTCAGAGTCAGAGTCAGAGTCAAAGCAAGGCAAGCACCGAAGAGTCAGTCTACACAGCGAAAGAGCAGAGTATATGGAATCGCATCGCATATATGATAATGAGTAACTACCATAGAACAATGGACGCCGTAGATTGTCTTTGGAACGTTGTTGACGGCCGCACTGCTGCTGCTGTTCTAGTTGCTGCAAATGCCCTGCCACAAACTTCTTAACGACTGAAGGTTCTGTTCTTATGTTGTGCCCAGTGTAATTTTACGGCAATCACGACCAACGACGACGACAATGACGAGAGGAAATCCATGTGTTGGCTTTTGTGCTGTGCTTAAAGTTTATTTCATGATTAGGCTTTGCGGCGCTTGATTCGATGGTAAATCGATGAATAATATGTACCGAGCAACAATTCAAATTCAAGACACTTAAAATATATTCGTTTAGAATAGTTTGTTGATTTTGTTGTTGTTGTTTCATTTCATTTATTCTTTCTCTGTTTTTTCATGACATTCGATTTGAATGTAATCGAATATATGTGTGGTGCTGCGGCCGCAGCTCGCTTCATATGTTCGTATTATAGAGAAAACGTGCATACATCCGTGCGAGCGCACTCTTGATCCACACTCGTTGAGGCCGTGCGCGACTTTGCGCGAGAGAGCCCAAACCAAAAAGAACACATGAATCAGAAAGCAAACACAAGCGCACGCTTTCCGACAGTAAATAAAGAATGGAGAGAGAGAGAGAAAGAAGAAAACACACAACCGAAGACGATTAGTAAAAGAACGTCGTGAAGATGAAGAAAGCGAAATAAAAATATATTTGATTAAGTAAACGGTTATGCTAACGGTTCAACGCTGTTACGTATATGTTGTGTGCGTCTTTTATTTCATTTGGTTTGGCACTGAAATCAATATATATATATAAATATACATATATGTAGACGAGAGCGTTTAATTAAGTGGTAGAACATAATATGCACAGCTCTTTTTTTCATTCCTTGCACTTCACCAACATACACTCACATCAGCTTGCCAGCCAGCCAGCAGCAGTAGTAGCAAACACACGGCACAAACTATTAGTCAAATCAAATAGGTTTGAGGTCTTTGTTGGTGTTGAGCATTTCGTTCTCTTTATACATATGTAAAATGGATTATATTTTATTTTGAATGGGATTAAAGAGCCGACTCTTTATCTTTATACCGTACTTGTATGAAAGAAAAGAAAGAAGAAAAAAAACGCGAATAAAAATCGTGTAACGATTGTTTGCCCATGGTGATATGTGACTGCTGCTTTTCAGTTACTTCGTCTCTTTTTTTATACATATACTGTAGCATATATGTATATTATCATAAACATTTGAGTTTCGCATTAATAAAAACAGTTATAACCGCTCTTGTTTTGATTTAATTGGCCACTTTTTTGTCCATTCAACTTGAGAGTTTTCGTCAAACAAAAGACAAGAACAAAACTATATAATTACAAACTTGATCTTTTTCACATATATATCTCTCTCTCTCCTCTCTCGTGGCCACAAATGCTCCATGATTTATCTGTATGTTGGCTTCCCATCTTCGGGATAAATAAAGTTTCTTTTTTTATAACGACGACACAAAAAACCTCTAGGCGTCTTCTTCTGAAAGTGATTACGGATTTTTACTTTGTGTTCGTACACGTTTGGACACATTCAGGTAACAGAAAAAAGTTTTGATACACAATTTTTTTCTTTCTCTCTCTTTTGTCTCTTGCTTGAGTCTTAGCTTTCTGTTCGGGCTCGGTCAAGTGGCAAATCAATCGGTGTGAATAAATTAGCTGGTAACACGTAAACAAATTGGTTGATGGCACGCTGTATGAATTCATTTGTGTATCTTGAGTTTAGACACGATATGTGGTGGCTGGTTGAACTCTGGCTGAATGGATATTTGCCGATATTGCTCATTCCACATTGCACACATTTATAAAGGTTCCCGAAAAAAACACCGTTTCATGATTTTGTTCTGGGCAACAATGTGGCAAAACTTCCATCACGAGCTCCAGTTATTTTAGATCAGCCGCTATAATCTGCTATATATATATATACATATATTCATGGGCTCGAGGCCAAGATATCCAATATTAAAGTGCAATTATTCCATTCGGCACTTTTTCAAATGGATCAGCTATCGATTGCATCAATATCTAATACCGTAGTGTCTCCTATCGTTTGATCGATCAATCAAATTCATAAATCAAAAAACCGTGCCATAAGCACTTCAATTTTCACACGCTACTATGTGATTGTAATTGACGGTTGTCAATTGTCCGTTGCAAATTAGCAAATGTCGATGTGTGTTCGGTTCAATGAACATTTTTTAAAATGGATGCAACCGATATGACTGACGATTGTGATGGATGCTTTTTATAGCAATCGTTTATCAATAAATTTGTACAAATGACGGAGCCGAGAAAGAGCATAAATACTCGCAATCTATAAAAGCAACAGCAACAACAATAAGGAACAATGCATATAAATGTGGTGAAGAATTAAAAAAAATGTACGAAGAAATAGCAATACACACGGTAGAAAAAAGGAAAACATGAACGAATGGCATGAAAAGAAAATCACTGTTTTAGAATATGCGAGCGGAGGCCTTGACACTGAAGACGTTTACTTTAGGTTGAGAGAGAGAGAGAGAGAGAGAGAGAGAGAGAGAGAGAGAGAGAGAG